ATCTGATCACATGACCATCAGCTGACTGTCATCTGGCCTCTTTTTATAATCACAACTTCCGCTGAGATAATCGTCTCCTAATCAAGTTTATCTGAGACACAAACCTCGTTTCTTTAGGCGACACGTGATTTGGTGTTTAGAACCCGGTAGTCACGACCGCGTCAGGAAGTACAACTTAACAGAAAAAGAAAACTTTTCTAAATAAAAGCTGTTGCTTGGATTGTTTGTTTCTGAATTTGTGGTGAAATATGAGAGTAAAATAAGTGTTTTTACACAAGTTAAACATGGATGTAAACAAACAAACATCTCTGCACACCACCATCTTTGGCGCAGAAGAGGGAAGAAACAGACAAACGGCTACTAAACCCAGTAACATCTTATGAGTCTCTTTAGACGACTTCACTGGAATAAAGACTTTGACTTCATACTCATTAAAGAGCAAGTCACCCCCAAATCAACTTTATTTCTTCTGATAAACTACATAAATGTGTGTCTAATCGTGCTGCAGACACGTGTAGTCAATAGTTTAGCACTTTAGTGCATTTCAGTTAAAATTTAAATTTTCTGCCTAAAACTGTCAGTGTTGTGCTGTTGTCAGGTAAAAACTCTGCACTGCAGTTGAATTTAAATCTGCCATCGCTATTGGCTAAGAGGTACCCTAGAACGTTAGCTGGTACCATATGATGTCACAATGTCGTTGAGAGCCTGTGTGTGTGTTTGTTAGCAGCTCCGCCCTCTCGGTCTGCTAGGCAACAGCATTTGTTGCATTTTTCAAACAGGAAGTGGGAGTGGAGTAAGAATCTGGTAGGGGGTGACTTGCTCTTTAAGTTCAACAAGTTATATCAAGTGTAAATTACTAAAACATGTTCTGACATCGTAACAATTATAAAGTATCAGCAGTGTGATGAAGACAGATGAAAGTCCAAAGATAAACAAAACCACAAACATTCATGCTCTACTAAATTATTCATGTTCATGCCGCTTTGCGCTGTATAACATACGTAAGATCAGACCATACCTAACGCAACATGCCACCCAGCTCCTGGTGCAATCTACTGTCATCTCCCGCCTCGATTACTGCAATGCACTTCTAACTGGTCTTCCAGGCTGGACTGTGAGACCTCTTCAAATGGTCCAGAACGCAGCGGCGTGTCTGGTCTTCAGTCAGCCACAAAGAGCACACGTCACCCCTCTGTTCATTGAGCTCCACTGGCTAACGCTAGCAGCACGCATCAAATTCAAATTGCTAACACTAGCATACAAAGTCTGAGACGGTACGGCTCCCATCTACCTGTATCCTCTTGCAAAGGCTTACGTCTCGGCCCGACCGCTCCGGTCATCACAGGATGGTCGGCTAGCAGTGCCTACACCACGCTCAGGACAATCCAGACTCTTCTCATGCATCGTTCCACAAATGTGGAATGGCCTTCCAAGCACTACCAGAACAGGAGCTTCCTTTTCAATTTTCAAGAAACTCCTGAAGACCCTGCTCTTCAGAGAGCATCTTCTAAACTAGCACCCTCCCTGCACCTGTCCCCCTCTCTACTGTCCACTCCTTGTTCCCTCCTCTCCATGATTGATGTCAAGTTGTTGTTGTTATTGTTGTTGTTAGCCTCAAGGGCAACATGCCGATTATCACTTGTAAGTCGCTTTGGACAAAAGCGTCTGCTAAATACATAAATAAATAACATTTAAATCATAGTGAGCTGTAAGCTTTAAATAAACAACAATAAAACAATAAATATAAACAACTACAAAGAAAATCAGCACTGAGGCTCGATAACGAAACCTGAACACTAGATGTGAGGAATGGGACCCCGCTGCAAGTGTCGTGAAAGCTTCAACAACCAAAACGATTCTCAGCTAATGGAGAACACATGTGATCGGCTGCACACGGTCGTGGAAAACACGAGAAATAAAGAGCAGCAGAGCCAAGCAGATGCCGGCCGCCCGGGACCAAACAAGGAAACCCATGGATGACATTTTTACTTCCACCTGTGCAGCAAAGGGGGGCCACGTTCCTGAGATCCACATCTCTAGTGGGGAGGGTTATAATAACCAGATGGCTGCACTGGTGTGTGTGTGCGTGTGTGAATTACTGCTTTAGTCCATCTGAAGTCGAGCCCAAGTACCTAATTCAGCTAAGGCACCCAGATTGTTTTTCTTCCTCTGTACTTGGACCACATCCCAGCTTCGCCGAGCTATGGCCGGCTTCTGGAAGTGATGAGGCAGCGGAAGAGGTCTTCTGATGACATCATGGCCACAAGACTCATGGATCTGACTCGTAACACCATCAACCAGTGCAAGAAAGCAGTAAAAATCATACAAAAACTTTCAAAATAAAAGTTGCGTGCTGATTTTCAGTTGCTTAACTAGTCAAAAAAAAGTGAAACGTTTGTGGTGAATCCTCCGTAGCCGAGGTAAACAGAACAGGAAGTTAACTACAGCCCTAACTGGATACATGCTGCCTTCCTTCTCTTTCTTATCATGTGAACTCCTGAAATCACAGGAGGTGATCTCATGACCTTGCAGGACCTGCTGTGTAGAATAGTTTCACTGCCACTGTGCATCTGAAACACTCCCTCGTTGGCCGGGAGTGAAACGTCTTTAATCTATGATTTTACGCGCGACTCAACGTCCAGCGGCACGGCTGGGTAAGACGCTCTCGTGCACAGCCAGTAAGTTGTTGGACGGACAAAACTGAAGGAAATAAGTAATATTTTCAACAGAATTATGCAATTTCCCCTCATTTAATTCATTAACGGGTCACCAAGCCTGGGGCCTCATTTATCAACCATACTTACGCACAAATCTGTGCGTATTTCGTGCGTAGGCATGAATTTACGTATAGTGTGGGATTTACCAAATGTACTTAGGAATGTTCCTGAATGCAAGAAAATCCGAACCCATGCGTACGAACGGCGTCTAGGGATAGAACGGGGAACTGCAGCTCTGAATGTCTGTCATCCACAAATTACATTTACCCAATAAATATTTATTTAGGTAGAGAAAGCAGCCGTGTCTCATTATTGGAGCTAAAACCTATAAAAGACACCGGTGCCCGATGGGAATCTGACACATCATGGCTGATCTGCGTTATTTGAGGATTTAACAGAGCGTGCTCTCTGGAGGGAACACGTTCTCCGTGAGCGCTCTGATCTCAAAGGAAATCCTTCTCCTTCACTGTGGTTTTGGACCCTTTGTGGCACGAGAGACAAACCGCACGAATCCAATTTCATTTCATTTTGCAACTACGAGAACCCTCCAGAACCGCCTCTGCTCCACGATCACACACACCGCGTTGACAGAGTAACCAGACAGCTTGAAGGATGCTGCACTCTCAAACAACATTTCTAAATAAAACCGTCTCAAAACAGAACGGCTCCTGAAATGTGAAATGTAAACGACAAGCCGTTACTGTGCGATTGATCAGATTCACTCTAGGGCTGCACAATATATTGTAAATATATCGTTATCGCGATATCAGCATGCACAATATGCATATCGCAAAGAACAGATAAATATCGTAATGAATGGTCAGCTCAAATGTTTGCTACACATAACGCATTCTGTCAGTCAAATGGAAGCATGATGTTTTTTAACAAATCAAATAGAGCTATTCACCCATTTGGCCAATCGGGTGGGTTCTCATAGGTCAGATGCCCGCCTCCGAGGCGGACGGAACTTCATTTTGATGGTTAGCAAACACCTGAGTAAGCTTTGTTCTGCTCTTTTTACAGATTCCGCTTTTCCCGGGATCCACTGATCGTCTTTTCTTGATCATTTTCTTTTTCCATTTCCTCACATCTTTTGCTTTTTTCATTTTTATAATTATTTGTATTTCTTTGTTTTTGATTATTTTTGTTCCTGGGTTAAGTTTTTATTTATCGCAAGTAATATCGTCATCGCAATATTAATCACTTATCGAATATCGCAGGTTTTCCTAATGCCCTAATTCATTCTTTTATTTATTCCCGACGGGAACCTCTCCCCGGTTCCGACCGCGTTTATAACCTCAACAATTTTCTCTTGCATATTGACAGCCAGTGTTTCCATCTCGCTGTAAATAAAGGTTTTTTTTTCTTTTCAGAAAAAAAAAACAGGGAATCCCCTCAGGTGCTAAAGACGTAGCATGACCAAATATGGGTAATTGGGGGTGTTTCTGTAAGTAAATGAGGGTGAACGGACACGAGCACCTGAGTACGCACAGTTGTGATTTATCATCAGACCGTTGCGGAGGAACGTGTGTAGGAGAGGCCACCGCACGTTTCATAAATCAGGACTACACACATCCTAAATTTCATTTGTAGGAAGGAATATCGGAACGTTTGTACGGACGTTCTGATGCATGAGGCCCCTGGTGTTTTCAGAGGAAATCAAACTAACCAGGACTTGAGATGGTCTGTAAAAGCTGCATCTTTATATCCACCGCTATTAGACTGCACCCTCCTACTAATACTTTACAAGTACTTTTATTTCCCATCAAACAATCAGTGCGTATTTTACATTGTTTGCATAGTTGTGCACGATACCAGCAAGACAAGCCTGGCCAGATTTAAATCTCATCCGCTGTGGTCTGAACATGTTACCCTTGTGTCACACCAAGGCCCACACACACACCTTTAACCTGACTTTAGACCTATCCCATAGGAGGCCTACCACCAGACCAAACAATAAAAACTGTCAGCGTTGCACCGTCGTCAGGGAAAAACTCTGCACTGCATTTGAATTTAAATCTGCCACCGCTATTGGCTAAAACGTTTGCTATGAAGTTAGCTGGTACATTATGATGTCACAATGTCGTTGTGAGACTGTGTGTGTGTGTGTGTATTTGTTAGCGGCTCCGCCCCCTCGGTCTGCCAGGCAACAGCATTTGTTGCATTTTTTAAAACATGAAGTGGGAGTTAAGTAAGTTTCTTGTACGGGGTGACTTGCTCTTTAAAATTATGAGCCATGTCATCATAAAACGGTCAACTACATCATCGACGAGGACAGAGTTATGCTTTTACCAGCTACAGAGAGATTTCCTGGTGTTTCCACGAGCACGAGGATCTGGTGCTTGTTTTTGTTGTGTGAACAGAGCAGCCATGACAGCATCTCTGAGCTACAGCCCTACAAGCTCCTAGAACAAACTATAGAAACCTGGTTTTTTCATGCATATTTAGCAGCGCTGTCTCTCACGGTGCTCCTGGAATTAAAGGGGGGGAGGCGACGTGAGCAAAGGGGCAGAAGTGGGGGTTAAGCTTCACATACCACAACTCCCCAAACTCAGAAAAGCATTTGGTACATTTTCACGACCTCATCGTGAGCTCGGTGGCCAAACAGCATTCCTAAATGCAGGAAGAAAAAAAAAACAACCCAGAAAATCCCCTTTATAGTCACAAACTAGCCTCACATCCTGAGTCATCTGCTGTTATCACAAGCTATGACTAAACAAGTCTAATCCACATGTGTGGCTCGTTCTCCTGAAATGAAGATGAAAACTTTCTCTGCTCTAGAGCAGAAACCCAAATATCCGCCGTCATGAAGCTGAACGGCACTCTGGGATGTTGTTATTGCTGCACATATGCAGCGTTTACCTTAAAGGTTAGCTCATCACGCACGTTTCCAGTTATTCTAGAACAGCTGTGTCGTTATGCTCAGGTCTAGACAGCCAGTGCGTATTCCAGATCATGTGGTCTAAACTTTCACAGACTCGGGCTTCCTCTAATATTTATCTGAGCATATCCACAACCACAGAGAGTCTGATTTACCGAGTGCGGTGCAAAAGTGTTTCCTGTTATGGGCTCAGCCACATCCACAGAGGCTCTGCAGTTCCTCGCCAGCCTCGGCTGCTGCCGCCGAATCATAATAGTCATGTCTAAAGATCCGGTATTAGGTAGAAATGAAGGAGGAAACACTCCTAATTTGTGTGTGTGTGTGTGTGTGTGTGTGAGTGTGTGAGTGTGTGTGAGTGTGTGTGTGTGTGTGTGTGTGTGTGTGTGTGTGTGTGTGTGTGTGTGTGTGTGTGTGTGTGTGTGTGTGTGTGTGTGTGTGTGTGTGTGAGTGTGTGAGTGTGTGAGTGTGTCCAATTTAGAAAACTGGTATCCTCTGTCCGGCTGATGATTGCATGTAAATAATGAGATTTACACAAACACCGTCAGAATTTGGATAATACACAAATTATTTGATTTTATTTTGCTGTAAAAAAATCTATTAAATACAATGCTATCAGGGAATATACTCATTTAAACCAAACTAATGACCTACGTAGAAAAATAATCATGTATAAAACATGCTTTTTAACTCCCTGAAACCTACACTCGCCCATGCCTTTGTAAAGGTTTTGGTTTAAATATCAGGGAAACAGACACCAGGTAGCACAGAGCAGAACAACAGAGTCGTACCGAGACCCGCTGGTCGTGGTCCGTTTACAGTCAAAGTGAAGAGTACACTGCTTGTCTGAGCCAAACGCCCTCCTGTAGCAGGTTAGTGTTGCATCGGTCCTCACCAGATGACGTATCGGGTGCTGTAGCGCATTGCATGATGGGATAGCTAGGCGTATAAACAAGGGAAGCACCTGTCGCTTTGTGTGTTGTGAGCTTATTAAACTGCAGATAATGGCACATTCCTGTTGTGTGAAGGGCTACCATGCTACCTTCACAAGAAGAAACAAAGGTTAAATGTAAGGAGGGATCACGTTAAAGAGCAAGTCACCCCCAAATCAACCGTTTTTACTGATAAACTATATAAAAGCGTGTTTAATCGTGCTGCAGACACATGTAGTCAATAGTTTTGTACTTTAGTGCATTTTAGCTAAAATTTTCTGCCTAGAACTGTCAGTGTTGTGTCGTTGTCAGGTAAAAACTCTGCACTGCATTAGAATTTAAATCTGCCGTCACTATTGGCTAAGAGGTACCCTAGAACGTTACCTGGTACCATATGATGTCTCAATGTCGTTGTGAGCCTGTGTGTGTGTATTTGTTAGCGGCTCCGCCCTCTCGGTCTGCTAGGCAACAGCATTTGTTGCATTTTTCAAACAGGAAGTGGGAGTGGAGTAATACTCTGGTAGGGGGTGACTTGCTCTTTAACCGGATATTTTCCGTTTTTGACCGTTGATTTTGATGGAGAAATCTCAAGGCTGTTGGTTATTCTGCCGGACTGGAATTACCCCGACATACACAGGTGTGCAGACATTTTAACTCATTCGCTGCCAGCGTTTCTCACCATTTTTACAGTTTTTTTAAGAGTCACAGAATGTAGCACGCTAGGATGATGTCAACGCAAAACAACCAAAACAAAGAGGAGACTCACCTCTTACATCAGGAAGAATCCGCGTGTTTCGAGCGTTATCCGTTCTTTCATTGTTGTTGTTGAATTGTGATCGGCAGAAGCTTTTCTGGTTCGCGTCTCACTTTTTTTACAGCAGCGGCCCAAAACGATCTCCTAACACATGGATGTTCTGCTTCCTGATCACGTGACGAGTGACGTACGCGGATGAAGATCGGCTTTAAAGCTGAGATGTTTGTTCTCACGGTGCGGGGGCTCGTCCGACGCCCACACAGTAAAAAAAAAATGCAAATGACGGCTTTAGTTGTCACTGGCAGTGAATGAGTTAAACGTTACGCACAGAGAATCTCAGAGGTAACAAAATATATCACGAAAAGATTCCCATCAGAATATCTGAGCATTATCTCAGACTTGGAAACCATGATCAGCGCAGCTCGCCATCAGCACCATGAGGACCTGTGAGAGCACGGTGGGTCACAGGCCAGCAGTAGAACCAGAACACGGCTGGCTAAATGTTTACTATAAATATCCCAACAAAACAGAAATCCTCAATTACTGAAACTAATGTACACAACAAACCCCCAACACTGTGGCTGATGCCTTTGATCAGTTCTTAATCCGTTATAGTTTTGACTGAGCTCAGCTCTTACGGGGGGCCATCTCTGAATGATGTAACCGGTAATGACCCCTTGACTTTAAGGCCTGACAGTCTCAACATTACTTATCCAACCTGTCTTCATGAACTCGCTGACCTAGGCTGCACACAAACCAGATTTAGTACTAAAGAATGTGCAGCTACTCAGACACTTCTCTCAGGCTTTGCTGTGAATTACTCCTTTTAGCTGGGTCTAAATATCTGCCGGGCATAATGACTCCCAGTAAGAGGTTTACAGCACAGATGAACTTCTATTCTTACCAGAAACAGTGACGACCTCACCTCGTGTCACAGAGCGTTCCATGCAAAAAGTCCTCCGAAATTCCAGACTTGAAAATTTCCTAATTTAACAAAAGTATTTCTTGTTCAGCACGTCAACAAAGGCAGGAGAAAGATGACTTCTCTCACATCCACAGCGTTTTTCACGCTTCACCCTCAGATACCAACACCAGCGTAACACTGGGCGTGAGAACCCGGTTTAAGCCAGGAAAGCCTGATTCACAGAAGCGGCTGAGCTAAATGGGACGGTGTATCATGTGCAAACACCCACCTCAACGTCCTGCAGGCTGAAGTCATTCTGGTCTTTAAAATTTGCCGCCCCGACACTCAGCTCCATCAGCATCTTGGCAATCTCAGGCTTTATTGCTGCAGTCAGCCTGCTGGCCGCCTCCATGACGTGTTCCTGCACGTCCTTCAGTTGCATAGCTGCTTTGGAATAATGAGAGTTCCTGAACACGTTGCTGAACAGGTCTGTGAGGAAGGCGCTGGCCCGGGAGAACACGTTAAGGGCATCCAGATATTTGGAGATGCCTTGCTGGATGTCAGCGACGTCTGTCGTGGTGCCAGAGGGAGGTGGGTGGCAACTGCCAGGAATGCCCACCCCAGTGCCCATTGGCGATGAAGCGGAGCAAGAGGAAGCTAGAGAGGCGCTCAGGGTCCGGCTCAGCTCAGGCATCTGGTACTGCTGGTGCTGTTGTACTTTCTGCTTGGACCCGCCGAGCAAAAAGCGACGCTTGTAGTCCATTTTACTTTCCTGTGCACTACAACAATACATAGGTGGTGCAACAGCACCGGAAGCTCCTGTTTGCTGTAGTTTGTTTTCTCGTATCTGTTGTACAAAAACACCAAAACCGGTCGAGTTAAGTCGAGTCACAACTCAAGGACCCCGCCTGCCAGAGGTTCATGTCCGAGTTCCTTGTGAGAGTGAAGGGGTGGGGGGTCAAAAAAGGCAGGCTGAGAAAAAAGCTCACATGCAGCCCTGCTGCAGAAGCATCACACCCAGCCTGAAGCACAGGACACGCCCCCACATTCAGCGTTTTCAGCTTCGAGCAAAATGGTCATAACAGAAGAGGACAAATATCACAGCCGGGCTTTAAAGTGCATCAGCTATCCTTCGAGGGGGGGGGGACATACTTCCTCATACACTATACAATATATGCATATGTATTTACATATATAATACTACAGCCTGCACTAGTAAAAGTAGAAAAAAAATCTTTTAAAAGCTCAAAGGAAAAAATGCATCCATGGAAAATGTCCCACTGGTCAACAGCACAAAGGGAAAAAAGACAATAAAAAAGTGAACGGACGCTGGAGTCAGAGGATGCAGCTTTGTTCTTTCTCTTGTAGAGGAGTCGCAGGAGGTGAAGGGTCGACGGATCCAGTCCGTCTCAAATCCTCTTCGCAAAGCCGGACTAGGCAGGCAGTGAGCAAGTGGCCAGCTGATAGCTCTGTTGGCTGGTACGAAGTCTCCAGCAGCTTCCCGGATTATCCCGTCTGCTGGCTGAGGTAGATATTACTCACCGCGGAAACAAGTGTGCCTCCAGATCTCTGCGGATGCAGATTAGAGCGACAAAAGCACAAATGTATCTGTAAGGCCTCTAGGTCGTCTCCTGGGGGAGGGAAAGGGCAGAAAAACAGAAGAGAAGGTTAGCATCATGTTGGAAAGGAAGGATGGGCTTCGCTTCGTCTGACATTCAAAAAGACACGGTACCGCCCTTCCAAACATGACTCAAACAATTCACTGAAGGTCAGTTTTCATTCATTTGTAACCTTCTGCAGAATGCTAGACGATCT